ACACATGGATTATTGCAATACAGTCTATGTGAGGCTGCCCTTGGAAACTACTTGGAAGTTGCAGCTTGTCTAAAATGCAGTAGCATATGCAATCATGGGTGTATTTCATCGGGTCTACGTAACACCTTTGCTCCATGAGCTGCACTGGTTACCCTCCATCCTTCTAAAGTTGGTAAAATTAGGACCCAGATTGTTGGGGGCAATATGCTGACATTTGTAAACCACTCAGAGTGCTATAAAGCACTATGGAATAGTATATTAATCTAAGTAAGTGCTATTCCTTTTGCTACTTACACAAAGACAACTTCTCACAAAACACTCACTCCAAGTCTGGAATTGTTCTTTTGCATGGGGAAAACCTGCAAATTCTGTGCAAACAAGACACTCTTATTTTTTCTTCATGTAAATATAATTATGCAAATCACTGCAATATAATTACAAACTAGGTTCATTTACATCAATTAATCTTGACTTGTTTGTTCAGATTCAGATTATTGCTTGTATCTTACTATGTGTATGTTTTTATTACTTTGTGGAAATTGAAGGCTTGGATGAAGTATGCTATTCTAACAGGAAGAAAAAGAAACAGAGTAAGTGACAAAAGTGAATAATTATAGTTAACTTCATTAGCCAATAAAGGCAGAAAAACACACATTTCCTAATATTCCATCCATTTTAACTTATTCAGTTCAGGAAACATAATTTGTATGTCAAAATGGTTTGGTGTGAACCTGCTGTGCAAATAACAGTATAGAGACTTAAGTTTACACGTTGAGCTAAACTATGTCTTACTTTGCTGTAGTTCACTGAATAAGAAAAATGGTCACATAAAGCCATAAACCATGGTTTGACAATCGACAATGATTGAACTCCCACATGCAAAACATTTGGTTAAATACCTTTCCATGTCATTGGTTGATATGTACAAAAACGATCATTACAAAAAGGATTAAAATGTTCAGACTCTGCAATGCTGCAGTGGTTGTAAGTGTGAAGTGTGAAAACTTTTTTCAGTTCCATTGTAACCTCAAATATCACTAAATAAATGGTTGTAAGTTGAAAACTACCTGTAGTTAATCACTCAGAAATATACATAGGCAATCCTTGACCTATAACCATAACTGAGTCAGGAAATCCGGTTGTAAACCACAGTGGTTGTTAAGCAGGTCACCAGGTAACCATGCTCCATTTTATCTTTTGGGGGGGGCAGTCATTAAGCAAATGTAGTGGTTGTTAAGAGAACCTGTTTTCCCCAATAGCGTTTTTGCTGGAAATCAGAAATAAACAGCAGAAACCCACAAAAAGCATGGTCATGTGATCGCAGGATACTGCAAACAGCCATAGATGCAAGCCAGTTGCCAAATGCCCAAAATGCGATCACAATGACCTTGGGAAAGGGTGCGGCCATCTGTTCTTCAAAGTCGGATCGTAAGAAGTTTTGGAGAAGTCTATCATAACCTCAAATGGTCACTTGCAAACTGGTCAGTAAGCAAAGACTACTTGTATTTAATCTCATAAATTGCTCCTTAGAAATCCCTACTAGTCAATCCAGACTCCAATATTGTACCCAGGCCACAACTAGGGATGGATTTCTTTCATACCTCTTGTTCAAAATAATTTGAAAAATATAATCCTGAGCAAGAGAGTTTTAAAAGCATGAGAGGAGTTCATTGACATAGTTTGCTTCTAATCTGAGGTGTTTTAGGAACTCAGGATTCTGACTTTTGGACTTGACAGAAAGCAATCTTCTGCCATTTTGGGGGACATTGCAGAAACGTTATGCCTGAATGTTTCAAAGTTATGATACAGTAATGAAACACGAATTAATGCTTGTGAATTTGTTTATTTTATGAGCAGGGCCTTTGTGCAACTCTCAAAAGCATTTCTAAGAGGAAGTAATTACACTTGCAGTCTGGATATATTCAAACCAGAGAAAAATGTTTTTTTAAAAAACATGATTAAGCAGAGAAAAAGTCATAGGGGAATCTGTCTGGCTATAAAGAAAAGCAGATTTCTTTATTTAAAATTACAACACTTGGCAGCTTACATAGAAGAGATCATTTGAAGGAATGTTCTCAAGCCAAATTTAGGGTTCAATATTCCCCATCCATTGTGTCCCCATAGAAAGATTGAAAGTTTTCAGTTTTGTTTTCACCCAACTATGGGCAGCATTATTTCATTTGAATCCAAAGTGGTTCATTAAGGCAAACTAGCTGTATAAACCAATGTTGGCAATAGTTTAACTCAAAACCTTGACAGTCTAATTTGTCAGGCCTGTCCCAGCTTGGGCATTTAGGAAAGAAAAACTCTTGATTCCATTTGTAGAAAAAAGATATACTTTTACTAAAGACAAGCGGTTACAGCATAAGCAAAGCCAGATCTGAATATTCCCGCATAAACCCCTTGATTTTCCCCTCTCTCACATCCTCCCAGGTTTTCCCTCCCTTAATCATTTGATCAATAGTATTCAGATTAGATGTTTTGGTAACAGTCTCAACAATTGGCATCTCTTCGGCCTCTTTGGCAGATGTTTGCATTCTATTCTCATACTTATATCCTTGGATCTCTCACCTGTTGTTTTAGATTGGATCCCTGGTTCCTACCATCCCCTTCTCGGTAGTTCATCCCCATTTTCCCCTCCCCCTTTTTATGGCAGGATGCCATCAATGCAAAGCAAAGATGAAGGGGATAGATGGCAGATCTGCCATCAATGGCAGATCAATGCATCCAAATACACTGCTTAACTCTGGTTAAACAATGAAAAGTCTCCTATCTTGTATCATGCTTCAGGATTTATGACAAGGTTCATCTAAGGCTCATTTCCTTAATGGGAACTATAATTTACTGTTATGTGCAAATACTCCAGTGCCTCCCTTGGTAAGATTCCCTTTTCTACTTCATGGAACTCAGCTGACCTTCAAAAAAACCAAGAACATAGGCAAGATGTATTTTGTTTTCCCCTTTTTTTCTGGCTTCAGTAGGAAACATTAAAGCTGCAGAGTTCTGCATGGCTGTTCCAATTGAATTCAGAGCACCTGACATCTGGGTAAATACACATAAGATCCGGTGACAAGCTGAGAACCTGTTTGCTAAGGGAGGATTGATGCATAAAGGGTGTAACTGAATAAGTGCTCCAATAGAACCAGAACAGTGTTGACAACTGTATAGGTGACACTGGTCAGAGGACAAGGTGTAGAAATGGGATTTGGGTTTGTTTAAGTAAGAGAAGCCACCCAGACCTCTATCTGCAGGAGGATTAGGTGAATCAATCATAGCAATACCAGGATGGTTAAATGCTAATTGTTCTCTCTACACTAGGAGGAAAAAAACACCTTATGCTTATACTTATATGCTAAATTTTGCAGTAGGAAGGGAAAAAACAGAGGAATCTACATTTTGCAGTCACAACAAGCGCTGCAAGAGGAAAGAACCTTAGTGCATGTGGTGCTGCTGTTTACTGTTTGTGCTTTGGATAGGAATGGAAGAAAAGAATGAAAGTAGAAACAAGGCTCAAGGGGGGGAATCTATCAATTTTTGTGTATAAGAGAGAGCAAGGTTCATTCAGTTTCTACATATTGCTATGCAGAAGTTGAAGGCAAGATTATCCAATCTCTAAGGATTTGGATCATGAAATCACAGCCTTGTTTCTAGGACATCAGAAATTAGGAGGCTGAGATATTTTAGAGGGGACTGCAATGTAAGACAAAGCTAAGACTTAACTCAGCAAGATAGGCGTAAGGCTTAGTAATATCCTTTTCAGTCATGGGTTGTTGGCCAAACAGTAGAGCTTGATAGTGGCTAATACTTTGGATAAATCCTCCAGCAAAACAAAGATCAAAATCTGGAAAATATTTTGCCTTGATTCTGGATCCTTTTGTTAATTATTTGTTCCTTTCATAGCAGATCCTAGAAAGGAAAACAACTCTGTGTCATGTTGTGTGAGAAAGTCAAAATGGACATGGATTAATTTCTTAGTAAGCCTCCATCAGATTGTACTTCAGATCTTGCACCATGATTTGCAAAAGAGGATTTGTTTTTAAAAAAAATTATATTCCAATTTTTGTGTAGGATTTTAGAGTCACACCTATATAAATTATTGAAGGGATACTTTAAAAAATCTGAGTTATGAGTAAGGAATTATTTGTGAAAAGGGCTATAATTTGTGGAATAAAGAAGCAAACCAAAAAGAAAGTTGTGATTAAGAAATACAGATATCATCTGACAAGAAAATAGAATTCTGCCCCTCCATATAATTGAAATGCTTTGACCACAAACCATATGGGCGATTTGATTTCCCTGGGAGTTATTTTAATCAGGATATCTGAGTACTTACCACTTTCTACAGGGGGACAATCGAGAGCATCCTGTCATACAGCATCACAGTCTGGTTTGGAAGCATCACTGCTTCAGACAGGAAGGCGGTGCAGAGAGTAGTGAGGATGGCCGAAAAGATCATTGGCAGTTCCCTCAATCCCATCCAGGACATACCGGTAGCATATAAGCGTTGTTTGAGGGTCCGCAAGATTGTCTGGGGCACTACACATCCTCTTCATGACCTGTTTTCCTTGTTACCTTCTGGGAGGAGGCTTCGTGGTATCTGAAGCAGAACATTCAGATTTTGTTCCATACAGTATTAACCTTGTGAACTCTAAAGCTTCCTCCTTCCGTTATGTATTCAAGATGGACAGTGATTAATATTTATATGTTACTTATATGTAAGAGTGTAGATCTATATGTATGTTGTATATAATGTGTTTAAATGTGTGTTATGTATGTGTACACTTAGAGCAAGCAACTAAATTTCATTTTTAATGTGTGCCATTGTGCCCACAGTAAAAAATGACAATAAAGGTTGTCTGTCTGTCTGTCTGTCTGTCTGTCTGTCTGTCTGTCTGTCTGTCTGTCTGTCTGTCTATCTATCTATCTATCTATCTATCTATCAATCAATCAATTTGACTGTTTTTCCCCTTTCTCATAGCCATAGCCCTTTGAAGGTGATGATCTGGAGATGAAGACACAGTCTCAAAAAGTGCATCACTGATGCTTCCTTGTTTCATGGCAAGAGAAGATAGCCTTCCCAGGGATGGGCAACCATGAAAAAGAGCCGTCATCTCCTAAAAGGGCACTACCCCCTTCCCGGTCCAATAGCACTGTATCTTCCAAACACAGCATTACTTGGCAGGTATAGTTCCTTTTGACTGAGTTCTACAAAACTGATTCCTACATGTCCCTGGGATTGGGGGAGGAACTCCAGATCGAATGTGTGACCAGATACACCTGTCTACTTTGCTTAGGTTAATGTGTATGTTGAGGTAGGGAATCTGTGCTAGGTATTTTATAGCCCTCGGGCCACATCTGGCCCTTTGGCTGTCCCTATTAGCTGAACGGGGCCTTGGCAGGGGCAGGGCATTGATGGGGGTACAGCGGTGGGGATGCAAGGCAGCATTGTTGACCCTCCACCACAGTCCAAGTTTCTCATGTGGTTCCTTGGGAAAATTAATTACCCATCCCTGTTCTAAATCCTACTAAATAGTAACTTCCTATATTGCCTGTATTGTTTGTATTTTGTGAGGCTGTTGGAAGTGGCAGTTCAGCTCTGTTCAAGAGCCTGTCTACTCCAGAGTACATATTGGCTGCATTGTACATGGCAAAGTACATGGTCTTGAACTCTAGCTGGACAGTGATAAGGGGCTGCAGTATAGTGAATGGTGCCTGGATAGTTATAACTCAAGTCATCAAAGATTTCATTTTGGATGAAAGCTCCCATATTTCTGACCTTTTGTTTTTTTACATAGAGTTCTGAGAGCTGGGAAGTGATAGATGATTTGCACATCCATAGTGGGGTCATCCAGCACCCAGAAAGGCAGGAGGGCTACCTGCTAAAGAAGCGAAAATGGCCCCTGAAAGGCTGGCACAAGGTATGTGTCAATAAAGTGACAGGATTCTTATTTTCCTTCCACGATTCAAGAGTGGGGATGAACTGCAGTTTTGCTCCTTGTTATGCTGAGTTGTCCCTACTTGTCTTACTATTCCCAGTGGTCCGAATTAAATAACTGTAGCACTAAATTAACAACTCCATTTCCAAGTCATTCCTGTTCTCCTGAATCGGGAAGATAAGCAAAATGTTGGTCTCCCAAAAATCTGCTGGCTGCTGCTGTGAATTACAGGAATTGCACTTCACTATATCAGGAGACGAATAAATGACAAATGGTTGCTTTCAAGAGTTCTTACAAGAATTGTTGCCATAATATATGTGAATTATTTTGGATGTTTTGGGGCTACAGTCTTAGGCATACTTAGCTGGGAGTAATTCTTAATGGAAGTTAATGGGTCTCATTTCCAAATATTGGAAATTCCAAGTATTTCCAAGCTCTCATACCAAACATTAAACTCTGCAGCAATTGATTGAGATCATTCGTACGAAATACAGGGAGTTGTCACTTAACAACACAAAGACTTCCATCCTTATATGATATAGTTGTAAGTAAAAAAAAACCACATGACTACACCACTTAGCAATGGCATGTCCAGCAAGCCAGGTTGCTGTTATTAAACAAGGATTACACAGGTCGCTAAGGAGGACCTCATGTGACTACACCTTATGACTACTTGCCAGCTTCCCTATTGACTTTGCATATCAAAAACCAACAGGAATAAATCACAGTCACAATAATAAATAGTAGGCCAGTAGTAAATACTAATTTGTCACCACTGTAAATTCAAACGTTCACTGAACAAGTGGTTGTTAAATGAAGATCACCTCTAGAGTTGGAAGATACCATTTAGACCATGTGTCCAAAACCTTTGTTTGGTGCAGGAATGCATATCTGTGAAAATGAATTACAATAAATCTAGCCTATTTTATGAAGTTTAATGAGCACAGTGAAAAAAAACTTCAAAGTAAGGAGAATTTTTTTATTGAAATATTGAAAATAATGTTGAGCAGTACCTCAATTTTAGCTTCTCAGAATAATCATCTAAAAAGTGAACAATGTAAGCAGCAAGAATCTATGGATGCTGTTGGCTAAACTTGAGTGAAATTAATTGTCAGGGGAAAAAATATCTAAGCAGAACAAAAGCTTGTGTTTAATAGCCAAAGGATATTTATTTTACTTTATTTACATCCCGCTTTTAATATTTTTATAAATAATTCAAGGAGCCCACACAATACTCCTTCATCCTATTTTCCCCACAACAATCCTGTGACTTCGACTGGGCTGAGAGAGAGTGACTGGCCCAAAGTCACCCAGCCAATTTTCATCCCTAAGGCAGTACTAGCGTTCACAAATCTCCTGGCTTCTAGCCTGATGCCTTAACTATTAGATCAAATATTGACTGCTGGAGGAAATGGACTATGCATTCTGAACAATGGCATGACTGGTGGTTAGAACTTTGATTGGAAATATTGAACAATAAAACAAATAGTAGAATATTATTTGTACTATTTATACTATGGGTCATGTTTATGATCTCCATTTTTAATAAACAATCTAAACCAATTTTCCCAGTTGGTGGATTACAACTTCTAAAATTCTCAGTCAGCATAGTCATTAGTTGAAAAGGACTAGACCAATGAGTGTGATAAAAGCAATTTTGAGACTGTATTGTCCAATTCTTTCAACTTTTTAAGGAATAGCATAACATATAGCTTATTGATTTTACTCAGTCAAATCCAGTACTATTAACTTATTCCTTTCCCCCCTCTTTTCTCTCTTTTTCCTTCTAAGCGTTATTTCATTTTGGAAGATGGCATTCTGAAATATGCCACAACACGCCAAGATGTGAGTATAGAATGGTGGAGTTGGGAAAAACTGAGTGTCATGTACCAATTTTTACAGGAATCCTGATGGGGGACAAAGGGGAGGGGCAGTTAATTTAATGAGAAACATATTAAGAAAAAGGCTTATATTATTCTCTGTGTAACTACACTTGTGACATTTTCCCTAGGTCTTGAAGGGGAAGTTACATGGCTCCATAGATGTTTGTTTGTCAGTCATGTCAGTTAATAAGAAGGCCCAACGTGTGGACTTGGACACAGAAGAAAATATTTATCATCTTAAGGTACATGTAGAATGACCCAGGATGAAAGGACAGGAAAGATCATTGAAATTTTGCAATCATATGCCAATTCATTCATAAGCTTTGGCTTACAAATGCTAAGTTGTTGTTTCTCCATTGTTTCAAAATTTGAGAATTGGTATGAGAATGTATGTGATGGAGAAAGGCTTGAACTGACAAATTATATCTGAAAACATGTTTTTGCAAGGTTATTGTGTTGGTTGCACAAAATATTTCTCCATGTGGTAAAGCAGGAAAATGTTTTGCAGAATAGTAATACCCTAATATCTAATATATGCCTGTGGAGTACAGCAGACATAATACTATCTGCACTGAGTATTTTTTTGCAACTGCTTATCGTTCTCTAGGTCTCTGGTAAAGGATAAAGTGTCCCCTTGTTCTGTTGTTTTATGAAGATAGAATTCAAATCCCAGGTGAATATTTAAGGCCCATTCATGGTAGGATTATTTATGCATATGCATGCAGGGCACAGCTGAGTATATGGCATCTTGAAGTCTGATTGTATTCATCCATTGCTAAAAGCAGGACTCAGCTTCTAAGTTATGTTTTCTTGCACTTTTCAAATAATGTAGCAGTGATCCTGTATGAATTGGTGGCTGCACATTTTTATTTACTATAACAGTATCCGAGGCATCCCATGGCCTTTGCAGAGTTTCTGAAATGAGGCAGTTTTTAAATCTTCTAAGTCAAATAAATTCTTAATAACAACTGTTATCTCCATCCTAACCATAGCAGGCTACTTACTATCTTTTGTCAGTCATAAAAATCAGAAAAAAAACACAAATTCTTGCCATGGAATCATGTTAAGATGAGGATCATAAAAACATGCTAACTTTCGAAGGTCTAGAAATCAGTTTTGTGTCTCAGATTTCAAACATCATCTTGTATCCCCATCTGATTGGAGGTGCAATTTCCACTAGCAGAGTTGACCCTACCTTTAGATGAATGAAGAAGCTACTTGCAGTTACTAATTTGGGGTGTTAAAAGAAGGAACAGATTGTTAAACTGTTGCTGTCAGGGAGGAGAAATGAAACATCTGTGATATTTTTTTACCATCTTATAAACTTTGGATCCAGTAGAAGATGTAGTATGCTACTGCAGCTCAGAATCACAATGTCTGGGACAAATGTTTTTATTTTCTTAACATTTTGCTGTCTTCTCTTGGCCTCACTTATTTTAGATAAAATCCCAAGAGCTATTCAATAATTGGGTTGCAAAGTTGTGCTTGCATCGGCAAGCAGAGAAATCGCATTCATCCCAAAGACAGTTCATGACAGGTGGTGACAGAGCGCCTCATCCCTCACAAGTGAGTACAATAAAATGGAGCCTTCTTGCTTGATGGCAAGCATCTCTTCTGAAATGTGGTAATGGAGCATCTTAAATGTCTCTTACTGTTTTTCGTAGATTGTATGCAAAGAGAGGAAAATTGTTTAGCATCTATCCAAAGAATTACTTTTTGCAACATGGGTCAGAGTTGTGTAGATTATTCCAGTGAATAATTGTCTTCTCTAGCACCGGAGATGGAGAATCCACCAATGGGTGCTTCATTCCATCTTTGGCAGCATAAGGAACGGGGATTTCCTGACGTCCATAGCTCTCACGGAAGCGTACCTCCACATCCCCATCGCTCCCAGTCACCGGCATTTCCTCAGGTTCTGCTATGCGGGCCATCACTACCAGTACAGGGCCCTCCCGTTCGGTCTCTCGTCAGCTCCAAGGGTGTTCACCAAGATCCTGGCGGTGCTGGCCGCACACCTACGAACGGTACCGGTGCGCGTCCAGTGTTACCTGGATGACATTCTCATCCAGTCACCCTCCCTCCAGGCCGCCCAATCGGACCTAACTCTGTCAATCAGGGTCCTCCCTCCACCCGACTCCTACACCTGGGTGCCATCATAAACACACTCAGTTGCCAGGTCTATCTGTCACAGGAGCGCCGGGACAGCATCCGGACCATGGCCCGCAGTGTTCGCAGGGAGCAAGTAGTCCCGCTGGCTCTGCTCTCCCAACTCCTGGGGAAGATGGTTTCATGCATTGCAATAGTCCCTTGGGCCAGACTATATTCCAGGGAACTTCAGTGGTTCCTCCTCCCATTCCAGAGGCTGGGCATCAGCTCTTCCAACAAGCGAGTAAGGGTTCCACCCGATACATTATGGTCCCTCAAATGGTGGTCCTCGCCGGCAGTAGCCAGAGGGTCACTTTTCAAGGAACCCGACCGGCTCAAGCTTACGCCGGACAACAGCCTGTTTGGCTGGGGAGCACACCTGCAGTCTCAATGGACTCAGGGGCAATGGTCCCAGGCAGGTCTGGAACACAACATCAATTGGTTGGAGCTCAAAGCCATGCATTTGGCCCTCCGCCACTTCCACAGTAGGGTGGCGAGGTAACACGTTCTAATCCTCACAGACAACGTGACAGCGAAGGCACACGTGAACTGGCAGGGGGGTACTCAATCCAGGTCCCTCATGACCGAGGCCCAGGCCTTGGGGTCCTGGGCAGAGATCAACCTCTCCTCCATCAGAGCCGAGCACATATTGGGGGAGGCAAACAGACAACTGGACTTCCCAAGGGTCAATCGTAGACCACTCCAAATGGCGACTGCATCCGAACCTCTTCGCGGAAATAGCGCAGAGATTCAGACAACTGGTCGTAGACTTGTTCGCTTTCCCGGCGAACACCCAACTCCCAAGTTTCTTCTCTCGGTTCCCATCGTCAGGGGCCCTGTGTTGTCCATGGCCAGAGGGGTCTGCTTTACGCGTTTCCCCCTGTTCCGCTGATTCCGGCAACCATTTGCAAAATGTTGCAGGAACGGGTGGAGGTCATACTCGTGGCCCCATATTGGCCACGAAGACCGTGGTTCGTGGACCTGGTGAATCTTTCCAGGTCTCTCCCATGGAAGATTCCCCTGGGCCGAGTGTTGCTCAGCCAGGGAGCTCTGCAACACCCAGAACCCCAATGGCTGCAGTTAGCCGCCTGGCACTTGAACGCCGGATCTTGAGCGGGGAATCATACCCGGCAAGAGTAATTTCCATGATTCAGGCATCCCACTGACCGGCAACAAATCGCATCTATGACTCCACATGGAGGAACTTCTGCAATTGGTGCAAGAGGCGGCTACTTAATGTCTTGGATCTGACAGTCCCAAACATCCTAGAATATTTGCTTGAAGGTCTGGACAGGGGTTTAGCACCTAATACCATCCGCAGACAGGTCGCGGCATTATCCACCTTACTTAACTGTGCCAATTCAGTCCCCTTAACACAACACCCCAGGATTCGCGCCTTCTTTAAGGGCGCCACCAATACAAAACCACCCGTGGTTCACAGGAACCCTTCCTGGGAATTGCCACAGGTCCTTTGGGATCTCACCAAGGCGCCGTTCGAACCAATCTTGTACTCTGAGGATCTTGTCCCTCAAAGTCACCTTCCTGGTCGCTATCACGTCGGCCAGGCGCATTTCTGAACTCGCAGCACTGTTGGTCAGGGAGGACCTCTGCACCTTTCATTAAAACCGGATGGTTCTCCGATTGGACCCAACCTTCGTCCCCAAGGTCAACACCCTGTTTCATAGGGCCCAAGAAATTGTCTTACCAGATTTTTGCTCCAATCCGTCCCATGCCCTGGAACGACAGTGGCACACACTGGACGTTTGTAGGGTGTTGTGACACTATATCAAGCGAACGGCGTCCTTTCGCAAATCAGAAGCCCTCTTTGTCTCATTTCACCACGCCTCTAGTGGACAGAAGGTGTCCGCCTCAACTATAGGCAGATGGATCAGGGCTTGCATTGGGAAGTGTATCAGTTGCTTTCCCTACCAGCGCCAGGGCAAATCACAGCACATTCCACTCGTAGTGCTGCAACCTCCGCAGCGTGGGTCACACAGGCGTCTATCGAGGAGGTTTGCAGGGCGGCGACATGGTCTTCGCCCTCTCCATTCATCCGGCACTACAATATAGACCATTTTGCATCCACGGACGCCTCCTTTGGAAGGAGGGTTCTCCAGCAGGTAACCGCTGGAGACGTAGCTTCGGCCTCCTCTGTTTCCCCCCCATTGGAACAGTGAGGCTTTGGTATGTCCCATTGGTGGATTCTCCATCTCCGGTGCTGGAGAAGGGGCGTTGTCTTACATGAATGCCTTTTCTCAGCATGGAGATGGAAAATCCACTCCCACCCTTTAAAAAAAAAATAGTACATATTAGGGAGCCAGGAGCCAACACGTCGAATTGTAGTCAGCTGCTTCGCCTTCGTCAAGACTGGGAGTGGCTACCCAAGAACGGGCATGGCAAATTTGGCTGACTTGGTCTAATGGGCAGGAAGGCACTGGACGCGCACCGGTACCGTTCGTAGGTGTGCGGCCAGCACCGCCAGGATCTTGGTGAACACCCTTGGAGCTGACGAGAGACCGAATGGGAGGGCCCTGTACTGGTAGTGATGGCCTGCGTAGCAGAACCAGAGGAACTGCCGGTGATTGGGAGCGATAGGGATGTGGAGGTACGCTTCCGTGAGATCTATGGATGTCAGGAAATCCCCGTTCCTTATGCTGCCCAAGATAGAATGAAGCACCCATTGGTGGATTCTCCATCTCTGTGCTGAGAAAAGGCGTTCAGGTAAGACAACCTCCCTTCTCCTCCCATTTCTTTGAGCTCTTCATGGACTTAGAGGCATGTAAAAGAAAAGGTGCTGCTTCTATAAAACTATATTTGAAGGAGAAAAAAATTCTCTTGCTGCCTAGTAAATTGGAAGAGGTAATATGAAACACCAGAAGTGTATGTGTATGTGTGTTTTGATCTAGGAGTTTCTATAGGTTTTTCTGAGCATCAGTAAGATTCATCTTGGAAATGAGTATTTTTTTAATGTTTCTGTCAGCTGGGTGCAGTATCTACAGTAGCTGAACTTGGCTGACAATGAAAACTAAGCAGGTTTAGATATCCATTTACCACAGTAGTAATGGGAGATTTCAACTATCCAGATACCAACTGGGAAACCAACTCTATGGTGAGTGGGAGACCAAACAGATTCCTAACCAACCTAGCCAACAACTTTGTCATCTAAAAGGTGGAGGAGGGAACTAGAAGTAAAGCTATACTGGATCTAATTCTTACTAATGTAGAAAAAGTGATAGAGCAATTTGAAGCTGCCAGAACCTTGGGTGAAAGTGACCACGTCATACTGGAATTCAGTATAATGCAAACGCAGGCAATAGAAAATAATCCAACCAGTATCTTAAACATCAAAAGAGCTGATTTTAACAAATTCAGAGAGAACCTAGGAAAGATTCCAGGGATGAAAATCCTAAAGGGGGAAAACAACTCAAGAAGTGCGGGAAACTGAAAAATGTGATCATAAAAGCCTAGTCCAGCACAATACCACTGGGGAAAAAAACCAATAAGAAATTCAAGAAACCAGCAGGGCTGCACAAAGCTCTTTCTGACAAGCTGAATGACAAAAAGGACAAGTACAAAAAATGGAAAGAGGAACAAATAATTAAGGTTGATTATCAGCAGATAGCCAGAACATACAAAGTTGAAGTCAGGAAAGCAAAGATTCAGAATGAACAAAGACTTACAAAAAAATCAAGGACAATAAAAAAAGTTTCTTTCAACATAGTAATAACAAGAAAAAAGTCAAGGAAACTGAAGGTCCGCTAAAGAGAGAAGATGGCAAGGAAATAACAGACAGTAGGGAGAAAGCAGAGCTGCTTAACTCATTCTTTGCATCAGTCTTCAAACAAAAAGAAATTATAGCCCAACATACCAAAAAAACTACTGCAAAAGACAAACTAGAAACAAAAATTAAAATAAGCAGGAAAATGGTAAGAGAACACCTATCTGACCTTGACGAATATAAATCACTGAGACCTGACAGATTACATCCCAGAGTTGGAGCTGGCAGAAGTTATCTCAGAAGCATTGTACCATATCTTTCAAAAATTCTGGAGCACTGAGGAAGTACATAAGGATTGGGAAAGAGCTGATGTGGTTCCCATCTTCAAGAAAGGGAAAAAAACAGACCCAGGTAACTATAGACCAATCCATCTAACATCAATACCTGGGAAGATCCTGGAAAAGATAATCAAAAAACAGATGTGCGAACAACTAAAAGCAAACTCGCGGCTGACACTGGATGACCAGTTGGCGGCCGTGACCAGGGGGGCGTTTTATCAGGTTCGCCTGATTTACCAGTTGCGGCCTTTTCTGGACCGGGATGCCTTACGCACAGTCACTCATGCTCTGGTCACCTCCCGCCTGGACTACTGTAACGCTCTCTACATGGGGCTTCCCTTGAGGAGCACCCGGAGGCTCCANGATTACCTCCCATCGGCCAGTACGCTCCCACAGGGTGGGTCTCCTCAGGGTGCCGTCGGCCAGACAGTGCCGGCTGGCGACCCCAAGGGGGAGGGCCTTCTCTGTGGGAGCTCCCACCCTCTGGAATGAGCTGCCCCCAGAGATCAGGGTGATCCCTGATCTCCCTTCCTTCCACCGCGCCCTCAAGACATGGCTGTTCTAACAAGCGGGACTGGCCTAGGATAATTTTTAAGAGGGGTTTTTAGAGGGGTTTTTAATTACTTTTTAATTAGACAATTTAAATATTTCATTTTAATTAATTTTAACTTGTGATTGTTAGTGGTGTTTTTAATTGATTGTCAGCCGTCCTGAGTCCGCAAGGAGAAGGGCGGGATATAAATTCAAATAATAAATAAATAAATAAATAAACAAAGTTATAACTAGCACGGGTTTGTTAAAAACATCATGCCAAACCAATCTTATTTCATTCTTTGATAAAGTGACTAAATTGGTAGACTAGTGAAGTGCCGTTGACATAGTATACTTAGATTTCAGTAAGGCATTTGACAGAGTAGATGACAACTTACTTCTTGGTAAGCTAGAAAAAGGTGGAATAGACAACATCACCACCAGATGGATTTGTAGCTGGCTGACAAACCGTACTCAATGAGTAGTCCTCAATAGTATCACATCCACATGGAAAGAAGTAAGCAGTGGGGTACCACAAGGCCCAGTCTTAGGCCTAGTACTCTTTAATATCTTCATAAATGACTTAGATGAGAAAATAGAAGGGGAACTCATCAGATTTGCAGATGACTCTAAACTGGCAGGAATAGCCAACACCCCAGAAGACAAGCTCAAGATCCAAAAAGATCTTGACAAACTTGAACAATGGGCCCTATCCAACAAAATGAACTTTAATGTGGAGAAAAGCAAAATTTTATATTTAGACAGGAAAAATCAGAGGTATAAGTACAGATTAGGTGAGACCTGGCTCAAAAACAGTAACTGTAAGAGGGACCTTGGAGTCCTACTGGATGATCACTTGAATATGAGCCAGCAGTGTGCAGAAGCAGACAAAAAAGCTAATACAATCCTGGGTTGTATAAACAGGCATAGAATCAAGATCACGTGAAGTATTAGTACCGTTTTATAAAGCCGTAGTAAGACCACACCTAGAATACTGCAAATACTTTTTGTCATCATACTACAAAAAAGATGTTGAGACTTTGAAAAAAATTCAGAGAAGAGCAACTAAGATGATCAAAGGCTTGGAGACTAAAACATATGAAGAACGGCTGCAGGAATTGGTTAGTCTAAAGAAAATAAGAAATAGGGGTGGCATGATAGCAGTATTCCAGTATTTGAGGGGCTGCCACAAAGAAGAGAGGGTCAAATTATTCTCCAAAACACCAGAGGGCAGGACAAGAAACAATGGTTGGAAACTGATCAAAGAGAAAAGCAACCTGGAATTAAGGAGAAACTTCTTAATAGTGAGGAAAATTAACCAGTGGAAGAGCTTGCCTTCAGAAATCGTGGGCGCTCCATCACTGGAGATTTTTAAGAAGAGACTAGACAGTCACTTGTCTGAAATGGTAGAGGTTCTCCTGCTTGAGCAGGGGGGCTGGACTAGAAGAGTCCCATGGTCCCTTCCAGCTCTATTCTATTCATCCATCAGGATATCCTACGTCTGTTTACTAAAATGGGACATCAAAGCAACAAGTTTAAAAAAATCCCAGAAAAAGTCATGGCTAACCACTTCTAAACTATTGTTAAGAAAATAACATGGAAAATTCCACATAGACCTCAGAAGACAAGCTGGATTTAAGAAACATGTACATGTTTATTTTATGGAAGCCAATATCAGCATTATGGTTCTATCCAAACTCTCCTTTGTAATCAGTTTCTCCGACACGTTTCTTATGTAGTTGGGAATGTTCTCTATGGTTTCCATTTTGTGATAGCATCTTTTACAGATTGGTGGGGATACCCAAGAATTCTACAGGCTGAAGATCCATCCTAGATTCTGAAGTGGACTGGATTACCCAACTTCTTTGCTTCTAGTTTCCATTCTTCCTGTATTGTCTTGCTTCATTCTTGCAGGCCTGCAACTCACGGCGCCACATACTGATGTCAGAAAGTGTCCCTGCCTTATCTTCACTGGCCAGTCCCCAGGAAAAGGTGAATTCTTGGCTCAGTGACAGTAAAGGACTAGCCAGGTGCTCAGCAGGTAAGAATGAGACTTTCTTATCATCAGAAGATCTTTCTAATATGATAGTTACAATGCTTATGGCATGAGCTTTGGCTATTTCCAAGCCAGCTTTCATCTTCAGAGACAAAGAGATTAGAATAGAATTTTCCAGAGTAAGTAGATACCCAATGAAGGGATTGACCAGTTACCTACATCAATATAGTATCTGCTGGTTACGGTTAGGCTTATGGGACAGGAGGGCAAGTTCTTCCCAATAAATTTTCTGCAGGTTTTGGTTACTGAATACTGTAGATTCTTGTGGGAATTTAGCCAGTGAAATACATTTTCAGTGTAGGTCATCCATTCATCCTTCCCTTTGCAAATTTCCCCCAGTGGGTGTTCTTTTACCGTGACTGATTGTCTGGTGTTTTGATATTCTGAGAGAACAGAAAGTGCTGCCTTCCTATTTCCTAGTCTACTTTTGCTACTTTTGTACTGCACGTTGGCAGTACAAATTCTTTTCAAGTATAACATATCTATACTTTTCTAAATGATTTCGGTTTTTTCCAGAACTCTCAGAATGTCAGGGAAAGCTTCAAGAACTCAGCCATATGCTACAAAGTTTGGAATCTCTCCACCGCATTCCCTCTGCCCCTTTAATCTCAAGTAGTCAGGTAAGGTACAGGTGTGTTAGTAGCATTTCTTTTCTACAAAGTTTTACATTAAAAAAAACCTAAGCAACATATTTGGTCAAAGGCTACAAGGTTACTTTCACACTACTTAGGGTAGTTATGAATCACTGCTGTAGTAACAACTACACAATCAGAGCATTCCTGCAATTAGATTATGATTAGCATTTTGATTTGGAATTGATCTTTGATGGTTGTACAGTTTGAGATTGCATCTTGATTTTACAGACTTCAACAGGAACAGAAAGACCCAGAAAGGCAAAGAGATCGACGCGGATCTGGTGCACTCAGAGCTTTGCAAAGGATGACACCATAGGCAGGGTGAGATGGTTTGGGGATGGATGGGGTAGACAGCATTTGGCACAAGGGTAGGAGATATAGAGTGAGAGAAGCATTCAATCACCAGTGGAGAGATTCTTTGCTCTGTGGAAGATCCCAATTTTAGATCTCCAGAGAGGGCTGGATGAAGGGCCCAAAGAGTTTCTACCAATCGGTGTGATTAATAGTGAACTATTGACCACAGCCCTAGGTTAAGAAGGGCCACTGTTGATTATGGAGATGAGGTACTTCTCTGGGATAGAGAAAGGAATCATCTTAAGGAATTGGAGAGGAAAGAATTTGTGATAGGGAAGTTTTTGTGGGTGCCTAAAACCAATTGGTTTTTCTTCTAGCAGGTGGGACGCCTGCATGGCTCCGTTCCCAACCTCTCAAGATATTTTGAGTCCTGTCAGAACCAGGCCATGTTTAGCATACCTCCAGAGTATAGCCAACTCCAAAGAAGTTTCTGGATCTTAGCTCAGAAAGGTGAGATCAGTGCAGATATTAATAGTTGTATGAAAAGCTCAGGGATAACTGTCTTATTTTTACTATGGTGTAGTGGGAGACACTGATTTCCATCTTGGACTGTGGAGAGGAATGAAGCCATTGTTTTATGGACTCTGACTATTTTCTTTCTTCCCTTCTTAAATTCTCCAGAGAAATGTGTTTCATCACAGTTAGTCACAGCCATGAGATCTAGAGAGTTCTGATTCCTTTTGGGACCTATATAAAATGTACAGATTTTGTTGATATATTATATAACTTTACTTTTGGAAAATAGGGGAAGCGTACATAAAAGGAGCCTAGCCTATCTGTTGCTCTCCAGATATATTGGATTACAACTTCCACCATGCTCCGCCAATAAAGCTATCTAAGGGATAGCTTTATCCCCCTTCAGTAGGGGAAACAACGTTGTGTCTTTAAAGATCTCTCCCCAGCTCCTAAAGGCACACTGTCTCTCTTGCTTGCACACAAACATCAAATTAACTCTATTTTGTGAGATTTCATTGGACCTCAAGAATACATCAAGAATAGGTAATATTACATTCCAGAAGTGTTGGACTACTCTTCTTGCTATTGCTTATTAATGATGACTGAAGCTCATAATGTCTGGAGGCACCATCTTGTCTATTTGAGTATGTATTAATCTCACTTTGATAATTGCAGTCTAGAAAACTAGAAATTTGAGGTTCTTCAAGAAAGTTAAAATTCGGAGAATTCCGGAATCTTTTCCTGATATAGAATCCTCTGCACTAATTGAATATAATGCTGTCTGTAATTTTTTCGTTGCCAGTTCACGGTTCTCTCAGCAGTGTCCTGGCTGTGCTGAACTCCGAGCGTGACCGTCTTCAAGAATTGCAGCAGATATTAGATCTGCAACGTGACACTTTGTCTTCTGCACAGGATGACCTTGGAGATGGCATCAACTCTACTACAACTGTTGTAAGGGGTCATGATCCTTTGAAAGAATTATCTTAGCTTAGCTTAGCTTAGCTAAGAAATTCCTACATCCCACAGCCCAGAACACGCACAGGTCATTTTACATGAATTGAACGGATCTCCCCATCACCCCATTCCCATCATATTTCCTGTATTTGTAACAACTAGTGCTTGGAAAGATGATGATGATGCCATTCCAGCTTTATTTCGTAATACTCAGTGTGGCATACAATATGTTCCTGCTTCCTGTTTTTCCCACAAAAACAACTCTATGAGGTGGGTTGCGCTGAGAGAAAGCATCTGTCCCATAGTCACCACCTGGCCTTCATGTTTACTGTGGGACTAGAACTCAGTGCCTGGCTTTAGTCTACCCCAGTGGTGGCGAACCTATGGCATGTGTGCCAGAGGTGGCACTCAGAGCCCTCTCTGTGGGCACGTGCGCCATGCCCTAGAGATGGCAGTCATCCTCTTCAACCAGCCACCCACTAACTCGCCGAGGTCCCACGTAGCCGGATGCATCCCAGCACCCATCTGCTTGCTGGCCTCTGTGTGCGGGGGCCGATAGTATCAGGCAGCAGCCGCCCCGGCCCCTGCCTCGTCTTGCCTCACCTAACCCCACAAGATGAGCCTCCTGCCCACCACCCCACCCACCAGAGACCCCCTGCCCGGCCCCCCCAGGCATCTCTCTCCACATCAAGCTGGCCACGCCCACCCTGGCCACACCCACCCATCTGCCATGACCACCGTAGACACACCCATCCAGTGGGCCACACCCACCCAGTGGGCGACGCCCACCCAGCACCCGGCGATATATAAGTGGATTTTGGGTTGCAGTTTGGGCACTCGGTCTCTAAAAGGTTCGCCATCACTGGTCTACCCATTTAACTGGGAATAGGTGAGGATAACTACCACCAAATTGGTAAAAAGCTCTACCATTCATTCATGGCAAATGTATTTAGTCCCCTGCATGTGATTGAATGCTTTAAGTCAGAAAATAAGCCAGAGCTTAATTTCTTTACAATTTAGGAAATATTGAGTGCCCAGTTTTAATGTACAACCCTTAACATTCATTTCCTCATTTCCCCTGTGCAGGCTTCTCTTCAGACTCTTGACAATCCTGAATGTATGCGCCGCTTTCATTCTCTCTCCGTTTCCTCCGATACTACTCTGGATTCTTTTGCCTCATTCGGTGCTGATGAGGTAAACCTTTCCCTAAGTGAAAAGTAATTGGAATTGCTCTATGATCAGAAGTCACAGAATAGTTAGTGTATCTCTAGCATGATTACTGTGTATTAACACACAAATGCTTCCTTAAGCTGCACGAGGAAAGGATGGTGAGCAGCTAAGAGAATTATCACAAGGGAAAACAGCTTCTCTCCTGTTTTGTGGAATCTGACAGTTATACCTGTCCAGAGTCACAGCAGTGAGATAAGTGGTTATATAATCTTAATTAAATTTTAAAAATAAAAATAAATAAACACTGAACACTGGGCGCAGACTTGAACACTGGGTGCTATCTAACAAAATGAAATTCAGTGGTGAAAAAAAAAGCAAGGTTCTACATTTAGGCAAGAAAAACCAAGTGTACAGGTATAGTATAGGGGGTACCTTGCTCAATAGTAGTAACTGTGAGAGGGACCTCGGAGTCCTAATGGACAATCACTTAAATATGAGCCAGCAGAGTGCTGCAGCTGCCAAAAAAGGCTGCATTAACAGAGGGATAGAATCAAGATCATGTGAAGTATTAATACCACTTTACAATGCCTTGGTAAGGCCACACTTGGAATACTGCATCCAGTTTTGGTCACCACGATGTAAAAAAAGATGTTGAGACTCTAGAAAGAGTACAGAGAAGAGCAACAAAGATGATTAGGGGACTGGAGGCTAAAACATATAAGGAATGGTTGCTGGAATTGGGTATGTCTAGTTTAATGAAGAGAAGGACGAGGAGGGACATGATAGCAGTGTTCCAATATCTCAGAGGTTGCCACAAAAAAGAGGGAGTCAAGCTATTCTCCAAAGCCCCTGAAGGCAGGACAAGAAGCAACAGATGGAAACTAATCAAGGAGAGAAGCAACCTAGAACTAAGGAGAAACTTAACCAGTGGAACAACCTGCCTCCAGAAGCAGTGAATGGCCCAACACTGAAAGTTTTTAAGAAGAGACTAGATAGCCATTTGTCTGAAATGGTATAGGATTTCCTGCCTGAGCAGGGGGTTGGATTAGATGACCTCCAAGGTCCCTTCCAACTTTATTATTATTATTATTAAATGTTCCCTGTTACTGTAGAACTGGGTATTTTTTTGTCTGAGAGGCAGTGAAAGAAACCATGAAATCCTCTGCCTTAATTTTATCAAATGCAATCATGTGAAACTTTTATTTTGTTAATTTTATGATCCTCTATCCTCCAAGTATTGATACAAATTGAGAGTTCCAGACCTTTCAAAGTTCCAGACCTTACAGCATAAAAAGGCTGAATAAATTCTTTGTTTTATTTATTTATTCAGATTTTGTGCTACTTTAGTTTTAAAATTGACTCTGAATGATATACATACCCTATCTGGTTAAAAATACTATATGTAAAAAAAATGTATATAATATTAGGGAAGCAGGAACGGATGGGATTTTTTAACAGTTCTTGAAATATCAGCGTTTCTCATGATGTGGCCTAAATTATGTGACAAATCTTTCAGAAGGTGAGAAGTTTGATAAAAAGAAGCTAGTGAAAATAATTGTAGAAGAGAAGGGCACATTTCTTTCCAAAGAGACTGCTGAACAGGAAAAAGCATGTGTGAAGATAGAAATTCAGCAGCATAAAAAACGGGTGCTTTGTGGGGGGATGTTTCTTTGAAACAGTTTTTAACAACTTAATTTATATTTTGAGAAATGCTGCAACACTTTCATTATAGTTGCTTCTTTGGGCATCATCATAATCTGACAGCAGCTTCTACCTCCCTTCCTCTCCCAAGTTCTGTCCTCTGAGACTTGACCACTTGGCAGAGATGTTGCCATCCCTGGAATGCCAAGGGGGGGGGGGGAAAGCCCAAGAAAGGGATTAGGGTTTCATTCAGTTCCACTGCCTTCCTTCCCCCTCTTCTTTCCCGATGGGGCAGTTTCTATAAGTTGAATTCCACCAAATCAAATGGATCCTAATTGTTTTTGCAGCTTTACTTTGTTTTCCTAGAAAACAAAGGAGAAAATGTATCAATTTTTAAAAATAAGTGAAAAACAAAATGTGTTTCAGTTCCAATCCATCTGAAAAAGTCTAGAGCAAAGAAGGGTGAATTAGATTAGTGTTACTCAACAACTTTAACATATGTGGATTTCAACTCCCAGAATTCTCTAGTCAGTCAAGCTGGTTGGAGAATTGTGGAAATTGGAGTCTCCACATTTTATATATGCTGGCTGGGGAATTCTTGGAGTTAAAGTCCACACATCTTAAAGTTGCCAAGGTTGACAAACACTGATTTAGATTATGTCTCATCTTACACTTGCCCCCTAACCCTATTTGAAAGTAATATTTGAACTGACCTCTTTATTAATAATATTGAAAATTCAATAATAAAAACAAAAAATGAAGAATTTTTGTATTCCCTTTTTCAGCCAGATGCTCTCTTGGTTAAGGGACAGAAGCAACAGCTCTCAAATTGCAGCATTGTCTCTCTTTCGGATTCACACACTGAGTTCTTTGATGCCTGTGAGGTATTCCTGTCAGCCAGCTCATCTGAGAATGAGGTTAGTGACAATAGCTATGAAAAGTTTGCATTTCAGGAAGTCTTTTTGGGGAGGAGATATCTTGCCAAGAATTTGCCTGTTTCTTTTCCTTGTTGGGAGGGGCACATCTGTTTTGGGTTGTTTCTGAACAGATCTATGGAAATTCAGCATATAAATCAACTTGATGAGGTTATTCATAGTGAGCAGATGATGCCCAATCTTTATGGGAGGTCTCAGCAACAGGTGGAAATCAGGCTGGTAGAAGGAACCCTGCAGCTGGAAAGGAATAGCTGTGTTTTCAGAAGGAGTTGTCATCTCAAGGGAGTTGTCATCTTAAGCACGCATCTATTTTTGAAAGTTGAAAATTGAGGTGCAATTATTTGCACAATTCTTGCTGAATTTGTTATAATATGCCCAGCTGCAAGAGCTTAGGGTCAGCTCAGGGCAATAGCATAGACAGGTTTTCAGTGAATCATTTACCCCATCTGCTGGCAGCTAAGAAATAGCTATTAGCTATGCCTAAATGTGCAATTACATTTAGCCATTGAGTATATACAGTTTATTGCATATGCAGTGCATCTCAGCTATAGTTTATCTGGTTGTTTTATTATTCGTTAGAAATGATCAATTGGTCAGGTTAGCTTTAATCTAAGGCCAAAGGGATGGTTTCATGTTCCTTATAACATAACAATGTATTCTGTTTTTTTTAGATTAATGTGATCATCACTTCTCTCTATTTTTTCCCATTTCTCTTTCTTCCTTTTGCCAATTAGTCAAGAGCCAAGCCACCCACCCCTTCTCCTAGCAGCTGACCTTCCCGCTCCACTTTCCAATCAGCACCACATACCCCAAACCCTACCGGTTGTTTTCAGCCCCTGCCTCTCCTGGCTTACTTTTTTGATTGGAAAATGCCAGCTTAGCAGAATCCAGACCTTTTTTTGCTTTTTAGCTTAGATCTTTCCTGCCATTACCATCTTTTCCCACTTGGAAATAAATCTAGATTCTTGGGATAAAGTTAGGACCTATTCCTATGTCTCTGGGACATGCTGCTCCTAAAGACACTTTTCTGCCCTTTCAGAGGCCTCTCAATTTGACCGTATCCTCCCTCCTCTCAGGCAGCTCCATGTCACAACCTTTACTGGAGTGTTTCTCAACCTTGGCTACTATAAGATGTGTGGATCAACTCTCAGGATTCTCCAGCTAGCCCATGCTGCTAGGAAATTCTAAGAATTGGTCCAAACATCTTAAAATTGCTAAGGCTGATTTACTGTCCCTGTATTATGGAGCTGGGGGTTCTGGGTACTCTTTTGTTGTTGTTGTTATTGCTCTCTTCCTTCCTTCCTTCCTTCCTTCCTTCCTTCCTTCCTTCCTTCCTTCCTTCCTTCCTTCCTTCCTTCCTTCCTTCCTTCCTTCCTTCCTTTCAGTCTCCAGGTCCTCAAAACAGTCAGCTTTCACAAAAAATGAATATAAGAAGCATAAGGTTGTATAACTTGTAACTGTTTTAATACATGTTTATAGCTCCAAATTTGATACCAATTATCATAATTTAAATAGAAATACTAGACATGCCCATTTTGGATTGAGCAGGGAGAGAACTGAATCTATCATCCATCTGCCATCTAAATTTTTTATTTTGGCACTTCTAAGGCCCCTATTCTCCCTTATAATTCCTTATCTTTAAACACTGACTTGCTCTTCAGGTATCAGGTTGCCCATTTATTTATTTATTTGTATGATTTTTCTTATAGTCACCCATCTCTTGCAAGTTAGTCTAGATGATTTTCAAGGATTAAAAAACATAAATATTGACAAAATATCCTCAGTTCTAAGGATAAACAATAACTTATGAGGTGTTTCTCTTATTATTAATATCTCTTCATCCATTATTCTTTCCTGTTTTAACTTTGCTTTTATAATTTTTAATTATTTTTGATAATTATTATATAATTGTTTTAACAAATGATTGTCTTATTGTTTTAACAAATGATTGTTTTAAATAGGGACAATTTTTAACGATTTTAAAGAGCCACAGCTACCAATATTTGGGTTTTAATTGGTTTTTAGTAGGGGAAATTTTTTGTATGATGTTTTAATACGCTGTGAGCCGCCCTGAGTCCCATGGGGAGAAGGGCGGCATATAAATTCTGTTAAATAAATAAATAAATAAATAAATTTACTGTTTTTACTGTATTGTTGTAGGCTGCCCAGAGTCACTTTCTGTGGGATAGGAAGCCATATAAACTTGATAAAAATCAACAGCAGTGCTCATCTAACTGCCTGACCCAAATGCCTGGGGAAAATTAGATATATTCTCTATTTAAATTTGTATCAACCAGAAGCAATCTTACTTACATTGAGTATTTTATGGTTATGAATTAAAGAGTTCTCCTGCTCTTTCACTTTTTTATATAGAGAAAAGAAATAACTTGTTTTCTATTAATCATTCTTTAGAGCTTAAAGCTTGTGTTTATGAGATTCCTACTGTGATTAGAGGCTACAGGTTGGATAGTATCTGCCTCACCTAGGCAAAATTCTCTTCAGCATAAACCTATTAAAGAATGGATCCATAGGAGATCCATCCTTCAGTGTCCTCTCACCTTCTGATCCTGCCTAAGTTTTCCTACATAGCAGTCCCGTTCTTTCCTTCCTTTCTTCTTGCCCATTTTTGCTCTTCCCTGATAGCTCCTTACTGCTGTGGTCTGTGTAACCTCCTGTTGCTCCTCCAGGCCACGGATGATGAATCCTGTGTCAGTGAAGTCACCAACAGTATCTCAGAGGACATGGTGGATATGCCAGGAAGCTCTGACCGTTATCACAAAGGTACTTGATCCAAGAAATGGGCAGGCGGGTGCCCATAGGGGGAGAAACCTCAGTAGGGAGCTGGGGTTGAAAGATAGGGCAAGGGGAATTATCATGCTTTCCAGTAATAACGGGATTTCAGCTTTCAGAAATAACAATACATTAGCCATGCTGGCTGGATGTTTTTTGAGTTGTCATTCCAACATGTCAGATGAGTGTCAGATTATGGAGGATTGAGTAAAAATGATGTTTCTGTAACCTGACACCCTCATGAAGTGTTGAAATTGTGATTCCAAAAATAAGAACAGATTGGTTAAAAACAAATATTGGAAGGTAAATTAGAAATGTAGATTGGAAAAGGTCTTCATATATCTTCTACGTGGTCTTCCTTCCATAAGAAGTGATGTGTAGAATTTACTATTGTTAGATATAGTGATGAAGCTATGTTATGATTTTGGCTTGACTGAGCAGATTCTTAGATGACAGAATTGATTTCTATATATAGGCTGGTAATTATTTTTTTTGTGTGTGTGTATACGTGCCCATGCGTATGTGTGCATATGTACACGCACCTTTGAATAAGTCTTGACTTCTGGACATTGCCTGAATGAGTCTGTATAGTTTTCTTGACAACGTTTTCAGAAATAATTGCCACTGTCTTCTTCCTAGCTCTAAGAGAGAGTGACTGATCCACCCAGGTGAATTCATGCCTAGGCAGGAATAGAATTCATAGTCTACTAGTTTTTAGTCTATGCATTTATCCACTATATCTAACTACAAGTTCATTTATTTATTTATTTATTTATTTATAATTTAATTTATACCCCGCCCTTCTCCTCATGGGACTCAGGGCGGCTAACAGCCTCATAAAAACTACAATACAAATACAATAATTAAAAGCCGAATTAAAAAGAAATATTTAAACAGGCCGATCAATTAAAATTACCCTTAAAAATCCCCTGAAACTTTAAAATCATTAAA